TGCTGGCCTCGGCTTTTGACTTGCAAAAAAACATCTTGCCAAGGCGCTTAGGAAGTACTCAGGATCGGTTCCCCACCATGCAGCTAACCTAGGAGTTGATTTCAGAGCAGGACAGAAAAGAGGCAAAGGTATAACAAGTTCTAAGCTACGAGAACGACATACGAAGCTAAAAGGACGACTAGCCAGAATACGAGCTGTTAAAAGAGCTGGAGCTAGCACCCTGGAATGGTACAACACGGGCGTCGGGCAGGCCCAGTTCTACGGTGCGGAGGTGGTAGGCCTAGACAATAAAGAACTCAAAGCAGCTCGTAGACTTTATCTCCAGATTGCAGGTCCAGGCACCACTACGAGGTCCAGCACATTGGCTCTTTGCTTACTGGGTGATCCGTGCTGGCGCCCAGGAGCCGGACCCATCACTATTTGGTCTCAGTTGGCCTGGCGCGCGATGATAGGTCAGAATTCACCAGGCCATGGTCTGCCACAACTTCGTGCCCTTGCTGCCGCTGTCCTCGGCAACCCTTCGAGATCGTGGAGAGAATGCAGAGGCCCTTTCGGAGCAGCTATTCTAAGCGCGCATCGCTTGGGCTGGCGGTTCACTTCCCCCTTCACGTTGATCGATCAAGACGAGAGGACGCACATTCTAACCTCCACCTCTCCCAGTCTACTCCAGACCTGGATGCATCAGGCCTGGTATCAGCAGTTGCACGTGCAGGCCGCCAAGAAGTTCGGCCTCCAGGGTACGATCGACACTGCCACAGCAAAAAAGATTTTGACCGACCAGTTTAACGCAGTCCGAGAGAACTACACTACTGGCTTTTCTGACCCAATGTATTTGGACCCGTTCCTGTTTGAGAAAAGCTGGGTACCCCGCGGAACCCGAGTGCCAGTGTGGTCACCCTACGGACGATCTACATCATAGACTTGTGAGTTGCCCTTGTACAGCGCCCCTCAGTGATGAAAGTTTTAGTGCTGCTGAGGCCCAGGTCCTAATGGACCCCTCCAAGTTTCCGCTCCAGGCTGGTTTTCTGGAATGTTGGAACAGCAGAGGGTTTGGACCCGCGACAACGTTCCAATCTCTGAGGCTTGTAGAGGCACAAAATATACGGACGGATCGTGTCTCAAGCATGGCCCCCAGGAGTTTAACATTGCAGGATATGCAGCCGTAGCCCTTGACCACGAAGGCGGCATGAATGCAGCAGTATATGGCCCAGTGGGTCGTAACCTCCCCCAAACCTCTCCCTCGGCTGAGCACCTTGCTGTGCTTGCTGCTGTATCCTCCTCCTCCCCCTCCTCCACCGACAAGATAATCACGGATTATCAAGGCGTGATCGATGTGTACAGTGAATTCCACAGCAGGAAGCAGACATACTCGGGCGTCGCTATGTTGGCTAAAGGCTCGAGAAACTGGCATCGTGGGATGACTTTTGACAAGATCAAGGCTCACCATAGCCTAGAAGGTTTCACCCAGGGCTCTGAGGAATGGTCAGGTAACGATTTCGCCGACAAATTCGCTAAGTTAGGAGCCCAGATGTTACAGAGACCCTCGACCAATGAGATCGAGGAAACCACGGAGGCGAGAACCCTTCTTGCCAAGTGGCTCAGATCTGTTGCCCGAGCTTTAAGTTTGTGGGAGAACGTCGGACCCAAAGTCAGCAAGAAAGCGTTTGCTTCTAGGAACAAAACCGTGGCGCAGCCCGTTGAAGCTGGAGCGTCCAGTGCCCGTGTTGCCTGTACAGGAGAGGCTCCTCCTCCTCCTCCTGTGCCCGCGGTCCCTCGGCCCCCGATAATCGGACACTCTTGGGAGTGGAATGAGTGGTCCAAGCGTTGGCTGTGCTCGACATGTAAAACCCGCTGCTCGGACAGAATTTATGCGTCTCGCAAAGATGAGACTTGTCGGAGCTACCAGTTACAGATGTCCCAGATAGCTGCCGACCCCAAAGGACACACCTTCTATGTTGCTCGGCAAACGCGGAGTTCGAATTTCATCATGATGTGTTCTGGCTGCGGCAAGTACAGTGACTCGAATGTGAACAAGCTCCAAGAGAGCTGTGTTGGTTTTAGAAGGGAGGGCGACAGGACTCAGTGGAGACTCCTCTGCTTGGGCAAACATCCCAAGTCCTCGTTCAAGGCCCAATCCCTGTTTCAGAGCCCCCCTTGAGGCTCGTCAATTTTATTGCCGCTGAAGCAGCCAGAATTGAGCAAGCCCAGTCCTTACAGCAGGACGCGGGGCCTGAGCGGAGTTAACCTGCTGCGCTCTCCAACCATGATCCTCCTCCTCTTCCTCCTGACTCCCTTCTCCTTTCCTGCCTATCTCCCACTACCGTACTCACTCAAAATAATGACATCAGACTCACTCCTCCTCCGAAATCGTCAGCACTACCTAAGCCGACTGTTATTGTGACTCCTCCGACCTCGACTAGTCATCGTTCCTCGTCAAGTCCTCTACATCACCTCCTCCTCCTGCTTCTCATCCCTCCGTCCTCCTCCTCCTCCTCCTCCTCCTCCTCCTCCTGCTCCTCTTCCTCCTCCTCCTCCTCCTCCTCCTCCTCCTCCTCCTCGTCTCCCCCTCGTAGGTGCAGGAGCCATGACCATTTCCCCTGGGGCTGCTGGTCGCCCTGGGTCCGCATTTTTGATGGCCGCACCTGGCCCCTCGGAAACGGCCCCCCGGAGGCCGAACTCGGACAGCACTGGTCGGGTCTGCGGCGAGCTGGGCCCCGCCAGCGGTCGGGCGCGCCGGCGAGGCGCGTCCGTACAGTAGGAGCCCGACCACAAGAAACCTTCCACAAGACCCCAGGACGTCCATTCATGTTTGGTGTGGGAACTCACGCTTTCCATCGCAAAACCACCGATACCTAAGAAACCCAGGGCACCCAGGAGGCAAGCAGGGTGCTTCTTGGCATGGGTCTCCAGTGTAGCCAACTGCGGCGACTGCACAGGAAGGGCAGGACGGGAAGAGGAAGGGGCCGCGGAGCGGCTGGAGAGCTCTCGGACCTTGTAGATCTGATGGAAAAAGAAAAAGCACCAGAAATATAAACTTTTGCCGCTCCGCGCGGATTTTTCAGAAATCCGCGCGGAGCGCCAAAAGTTTCTGTTTCTGGCGTTTCTTCTTGTTCGAAGGACGCGAAGAGGAAGTGGCCGCGGAGCGGCGGGAGAGCTCTCGGACCTTGTAGCTCTTCCAGCGAAGGTCGGAGGTCGGGTTTGTGCTCGCAGCAGCGGCGTGCAGCATCGAAGAGAACTCTGGGGTCGAAAGGTCAAGGTCGAATCCATCTCACATGCTTTGCCGCTGTGGATTGATTTTGTTGGGCACGATGTGTTCGCTTTTTGGTCGAAAGATCACGGCTGAATCCATCTCATCCAGCATGGCTGCTTTGTTGGGCACGATTTGTCCGCTTTTCGCATGACCATGTCACGCATCGCTGCACACTTAGCATCACGTGGCCGCAGTCGCCCAGGGGCGAAGCGCGTCTTCTTGGAACAAGCCCGAAGCTTGAAGCACCGGGATCCTCATACAGGATCGGGGATCGACTCATCAACCCTTCGGATGTCTGAGCATGCGGCGGCCACGGCAACGGCGACGACGCGCCGACGGGGTGCTGGCGACGACGCCGGCGACGTGCCAATGCCGACCGCGGCAGGGCCGCCTCTGAACATCGTTTAACCGATCCTCACCATCCCCGCTGGCATGGCCTTGGCCCCACTGACCGATTCACACCTTGCTCGATGTGGCTGTGTGCTGTCTCCTTCGGGTTTTGAAAGGCCTATCCCCACCTGGGTGGGAGACCTGGTGGGGCTGAGCTGAAATACTATGGCCCAATGCGGATAGGGGTCGGCTAGACGATGCTGAGCCTCAGAAGTACTGCTGCAGCTCCGCGTCCTGCTTCGCAAGCTCCAGCAACATCGGGTCGTCGAAGAACTTGTGGACCTGGAGGGAAACACAACGACATAGACATATGCTTTCGAAGTTCCGCGCGGATTCCTTGAATCTGTGCCGGGCCCGCCTCCCTGGCGCGCGGAGCGCGCCAGGGGCGGCGCTTAAGGCGCTGCAAGGAGTCCCAGGCGCCGATCCAAGAAAGCTGGGCGAAGCTCCGAAAGTTTCTGCTTATAGGTCGGGCGAGTCCCCCTACAGGCGTATTTTGGAGAAAAAACACATGTTCCAAACATACCCCGAAATGGTTCAAAATAGTCGAAAAATTGTCCCCAAACTATTTTTTACCATTTTTGAATACTCCTCCTGTAGAGGGGCACGCCCGACTTGAGCTTATGCCCTTCCCTCCTTCCCCGAGGACCGACACGTCCTCGCTGAGGCCCTTGCGCCTGCGCATCTTCAGCATGAACTCCCGGGCCAGGTGCGGGGCCGGCGCCGGCTCGAGGGGCCGCAGCAGGATGGAGCGGTCGAGGGGGTCGCCGGGCACGAGCTGCCAGTGGTCGAACATCGTCTGGCACATCGCCTCGGGACGCACAGAGACATGCTGATGCTATATGCCCTCCTTGGAGGCGCGCGTCCGACCCGAACATATAGCCGACCCATCTTGTAGTAGATCGTTTCCTGAGCGGCGTGGTCAGAAAGCGCCCGCCACGGCGCATACACTACAAGATTCCTCGGTGCGCGCGTCGCCCCTGGGGGGCCGACGCCGATAGAGGAAAGTATCTTGGGGTGACGCCGACGCCTGACCGGACGTGTGGGTGCGCAGGTCCGTCTCGAAGCCGAAGGACTCCATGGCCGGCAGGTACGCGTGCACCACGTACATCGGGCTCCCAGGCTTCGGCAGGTCGCGGACGACGTGGCCCCGCCTCCGGGACAGCACGTTGTAGATGGCCGCCACGCAATCGGCGGGGCACTCGATCTCCGAGAACTGCACCGGTTCCATGAGCCGCGGGGTCGCCAGCAGGAAGGCGGAGTAGGCGACGCGCCTGGAGGTGGGGATGATCTGGCCGCCCCCCCGCATCACCGGGTCGGAGGCGAGCTGGGCGTTGAGGATCTTAAACTTGGTGCTCCGGATGCGCTCGTCGCACAAGGGGCCCTCCTTGGTGGCCCACTGGAAGCCCTGGATCAGGCTGTCCTTTTCGGCTACACGTAAGAGCGAATCCCGGGCAAGAGAGACCTTTGGTGCGCGACCTAACGGGGAACGCGGGGTGGCCAAACCCGGGCGCGCAAGCCGCTGCTACCGCTTCGCGATCAGCGATCGGGGGACCCCATTGGGCCCGCACCAAAGGTCACTCCGGCGAAAGGTCACTCTTACGTGAAGTCGACCTTTGCCTGCCCAAGCAGAGTCTTATCCACCTCACCGGGCAGGCAGTCGTCAATCAGCACGTTGGGTCCGTTGGTCTCGGGACCGAAGGCCCAGATGGAGCGGGCTGCCAGCTGGTCCCAGTCGTAGTTCTTGGCGAAGAAATCGCCAATGCGGCGGCTGTCCCAGTCGATCTTGACCTTGCCCTTCTCGATGTCCTCTCCGAGTCCCTTCTCCAGCGGCTCGGCCACCATGTAGATCTTGTTCTTCTTGTTGGGCGTCTCCGCGAAGCACTTGAGGGAGCTGGTCTCCACGACGGTCTCGCAGAACTCCACCACGGGGTCCGCCACCTTTTCGGTGGCAAATCATGTGTCGACTCTTGCGAATCGGCGCTGGTCGACGCTAAATCGACGCTAATACACGCTAGATCGACGCTAATCGACGCTAGATCGGCGCTATCGGATCGACTCCCAGACGCCAATCGACGCTAGTCGACGCTGAAGACAGAATTGCGAGGGTACACAAGGCTCCCATGATTTTCGGAGTCCACCACAGGGGGGGAGACCCTGAGAGGGGGGGGCAGTCCGATCCGCTGGCGCTTCGAATTTCCGAAAGATGCTGCCCCCCGCGCCCCGATGGTCGACGCCTCTCGGGGTCCGGCGGCGGCAGGAGACCTCGTTTTGCACAGTTTTTCTGCGGTTCGATGCGCCAGCGGACCGAACTCACCCCCCCCGTGGCCCCCCCCCTTTGCGAGGTCCCGAGATTTGCTGCCGAACACCTTGATCTCCAGGTCCCCGTACAGCCGCCGGAGGTCGTGCAGGATGCAGTCCAGGTAGAGCTCGCCGGTGCCGCTGAGCACGTGCTCGCCGCTCTCCTCCACCTTGGTCCTGGCCAGGAGGAGGAGGAGGAGGAGGAGGAGGAGGAG